CACTGTGTGTTAAAGAATTTTAAGGGTTTAATTTAAATTAATTTTTTTTTTTTTAAAAAAAAAAAAAAAAAAAAAAACACAACAAAAAGCACTGAATTTTATTCTTTCCAATTCCACTTCACAATTGCGCACAACTTTGTTTCACAAAATTGCAAAACAACATTATATTTTGTGGTTGTAACAACTATATGTAGAGAAGTTCAAGGGGTATCATTACTTTTGTAAGGCACTTCAAACTTAAGACTTTAAAGTCCATGATGATTTAGAACTAAAACTAAATGTATAAAAACATAATAAGGTTGAATAGAACAGTTTGTGTTTTGCAAGTCCATTGCTTGAGCATCTAGGTCAGCTTCATCACCTTCATTACTGTAACTGCTGACTGATTTAAGCAAACTAACAAAATCCCTGCTATCAAACCGAGCTTCATTAAAATGGCATGCTCCCATGTCAAGGAAGGAGTTGCTAGTGATTAAAGTAGCAAAAACATTTTGATTTTAATTTCCTAAGTAAAACTTAATTCATTTTCCTTCAGCTGGGGATGTTTGCTGCCTTGCATTATGGGTCTTATACCATCACAACGTTTGAATGACTCCTCCAAAGCTATAAAACATAGGTGTAAGAAAAGTCTCCAGGGAAATGGCCAATAAGACAAAGCTCACTAAAATCTAACCCATTGTACAGAAAACATGATTGGATTTGCAACTTTTAAAAGCCACAAAATGAGATCAAATGCACTTTTTTTTTAAGATGATTGAAGTGATACAAGTATCTGTTGAGTACAAGATACTTGCACAAGTATCTATTACTTGATTAAGTAATAGATACTTGAGTAATAGTGTCTATTACTCAAGTATACATACTTGAGTTTCAACCAAGTTGAAAACAAGATTTACAGAAATGTTTCAGCAATTTCCACTTCGGAGTAATTTCAAAACTTTAATTGGGAATTTGGGGAATGAATGGGAAACGACTGGATTTCCAGAAACCCCCTGTGCATGTGATGGAGGACCTGCATAGATACAGTCAAAAGTATTCAAAATTATGCTAGAATAACCCCATATTTGAAATCCCTGCTAATTGCCAATGTTTAACATTTTTAAATATTACTGTTAATAGTTACTTCCCAAAAAATTCCTAATGATTCCCATTGAAAGTTTCCAACTATCCAGACTTGTGCAAGGCCCTTTATCCTTCAGTTTTTTTTAATGATATTCAATAAAAACTGTGTTCTGAAAAAGGTGATTTTTCTAAGACCAATTAGCCAGTATCCTGTGACTCAAAGTATTAGAGCATGGATATGATAAAAACATGACCCGATTTGAGTCACCACAACAACTACAACATAAAAAGTAGGATTTCTGTGGACGGTATGCATAAATTAAACTTCACAACACACACAGATTTCAAGCGACAAAAGCGTTACTTATAATAGAACTCGTATTTCATTATGTGTTGAGTGAGTCCCTGAGATATTGCTGGCTCTCTGTATGGTTTCCACATCAGAATGTGACTTTAGATGCAGTGTTTTTCCAATTCCCATGTCTGACCACAAACACACACTGGAGCAGGTCACTGCGGCATTGACTCATGTACCCAAACACACACACAAAAAAGGTCTGGACGTCACATTCGCCACATGATGGTCATTAATCAGAAAAAATTTCAATATGTTTGGATGAAATAAATAAATCTCACTGTGGACAACTATATAACATCTTTACATATCAGAAATAACAATGTCTCAATTCGAGTCAGGCATTCGTGCTCACATTATTTCTTTTTTTTTTTACAGTAGTTTCAAACAGATTTCAAGGGGTTTCAAAAGGGCAAAAATCTAAATATAAAATGTTTATTTTCTTAGCATGAGCACTCTATGTACTTCAACAAAAGAAAAATAAATCTATCATTTGACAGCTTGTTATAAGTTGCTAAGATGTGTAAAAGAGAAAGAGAGCTCACAGTTAAACTTTTCTTTAAAGAGGTACAAAAAAATTTCCCAATCTTTTTCTGTTTACCATAATCAAGCAAAAATGTTTGGTTTGGTCGACGTGTCTAAATCTTAGAGAAATTTTACATTTATGTTCCAATAATCGACTCAAGCCTTTAAAACCCTGTGTTCAGATCTTAGTTTATCCCACCTGACAGTTGAGTTGTAAATACCTGGTAGTTGTTTTCCTGCGGATGTTATCAGGAAAGTGAGTTAAATACTTGTGGCCAAGACTAACCCTTCTCCTTGCTGCGGGTCTACTGCTCCCCGCTGTGCTCGAGGCTGTCTATGACGCGGCTCAGCCTGATGTTGAGCAGCCTGATCTGAGTGTCCAGGTGGTCGATTTTCTCCTCCAGCGTGCCCGCCCCGCCCCCTCGACGCCAGTACGCTCCAACGGGTCCCGTCATGAAGTACACAGCCATGATGAAGCATAGAGGCAGCACGGCTCGCTCCGGGTCGCCCTCGAACTTCTGCAGGATGTAGAGGCAGGACAGGGCGAAAAGTATGACCCTCGCCAGCCAGAAGAAGCGTCCAAAAACTGCGTGCAGCAGATAAAACACTCCCCCCAGGAACATGGATAGGAACCAGTAGGCCAACAGTACGGCAGCGAGCAGGAGCAAGGCGCGTGCTGGGGAGTTGCTTAGAGACGTGAGGCTGAAGTAGTGGCTGAGGTTTGAAGCTTCACAAAACAGAGAGAGAGAGAGAGACAGGAAGTATATTATTTACATTTTTTTTGTGTCAAATAAAGAAAAAAAAAAGTGCGGCAAGTTCATGACTTACAATCAATTCCCATCACATCAAGCAGATCTGACCAGATCTTCCATATGGTATCCATAAAAGAGTCCACTCCATGGACGAATCGCTCTGTTGCTTTGGAGAAAAACTGAGCAGAAAGAAGAGACAGTGAAGGTTAGGGCAGGTTCATTCCACAAAAACTGATATCAGAGGGCAGATGTACTGGCCATGGAAGTGACCTTACGATAGCATGCAACTTATGGTGATCTAGTCATTTAAACTCATCACGAAAATGTTTCCTTGATATGGCTTCAAAGACGGACAGTCTCTGTTTGAAAAGCCTTAATTGAGTCAACAATTTAAAGTTAGACTTTTATAAAAAAGGAGACCTATTATGCAAAATTCACTTTTTGCCCATCGTTATTCTTCCATTTGGGTCTCAACTGCTTCTAAAAACAGCCGAACTGCTTAAGAAAACACAAACAAGTTTTTTGGAAACATGTTCACATTTTTCAGTGTCTTGAAAATGAATACTTAATAAATTGTACCCTCTGACTGATCATTGCTATTAAAACCTTCTCTTTTTTTTTTTTGCTTCTTCATTTGCCTAGTATCAAGGAAGCACCAGAAACAGTGCTTTTATTGTGATGCACTGTAAAATTGACGTATGCAAAAAGAAAGGCATCGACTTGCAGGCTGCCACACAGGAACACAAGGCTATTGAAAGTAACAATTTGAAAATTACAAAAAAATTTTTGTTACAACTGTTCCTAAGGTACAAAACGCTTTAAATGAGAAGAAGAAGGCTGTGAAAGTGGCGTAAAGTCCCAAACTCTTGTTGGATACAGCAAATGCATTCAACTGGTTACATTTCCATGAGTTTCATAGCCTGCCTTGTCTGGAGCATATTCATACTGTAAAATTATTTAAATCAAGAAAATGTTCTCAGTTGAACAGTACTGATGGGGATGGGTTTAACACTTTCAAGACAATATCCCAAACTCTTTACTAGCAATGTTCTTTAAAATGTTATATTAACTTTAACCAAATATATGTCTTTTGCACTTAGGACTTTAAATCTCCAACAGTCTTCTTAAATATAATCTTACTGACAAAAAACAAATCTTGTAAAGACTTTCACACTGCCTGAACAATCACCACGTGGTACGAGCAAGTGGGAGAATACTGTAGTTGTCACATGATTTCTATCTTAGTCCTGATTTGTTGAATTGATCGTGCTACAACCTGTCTACAGTACGAAAACCCCCCCCGGCACAGATCGCGAATGACGTCACACTTTCTCATTAATATTCATAAGCCTGCTCTGTTCTAAATATAGCATTTTGACGTCATTCGCTATCAGGGTCTTTTTCCCCTCTGTAGGCTGGATAAAAATAAAATGAAATAAAAAATAACGTGGACTGCATCCGTAGCCATTTTTCTATCTTGAATAAAAGCAAGTATATCACATGCTATGGATGTTTTGCTAGCATTTCTGTGCCACTGCTGTGATACTGTGAAACGTTCCGCAATGTTAACATATGGTAAGCACACCACGCAGGCTAATGTCCACAAATGTAAAATAATTACATTTCCATTGCGTTCATTTGTGTTGATGATTATCACGTGACCACCGTAACATGGGAAGCAAACAGGTACTTTGCTTTGGCGGCTAAACGCAGGAACTGTGCAGCTTTTCAAAATGCAGGAAGTGCATCTGGACCAATGAGAGCACACAGGGAAGCTCAGAATGTCCTTCACATGAGGACTTATCTATGAAATGACAGAGGACGCTTTCAAAGACTGATACAGTTAAGGGCCTTCGATGTAATGAATGAATTCGCAGGTTAGAGATGATCTTGCGACCTTGAAACAAAACTGCAATGACACACACATATAACTTACATATAAAACAAAGCGTTTAGACTGGGGTCCTCAACAGGCGAAAAATCATTGGATTAATACTAATATTTCAAAATGGCATCCATGATAAATTGACCAGGCCGACCCCGCTTTTTTTCTTATTTCCTGTTCATCATGTGTGGACTGCAAGCAGCTGGCCAGCTCATAATTGGTGTCTATGCTCCTCCGCTCACCTTGTACAGGGCTCTGATGTTATCCTCTCCGAACACGCTGCTCAGAGTCTGGTAGATCCCGTTAGCTGCCCGTCTGAAGCTGTTCTGGTTGCTGCTGCCGCTCCTGCCCCTGCCCGCTTCGGCTGTGCACAGAAGAGAGGCGGAAAGCACCAAGAAAATCACAAAAATCCTGCTCTCCTTCATGGCAGCAAGCGTCCAGAGGTGTCAAGTACAAGTTAGTATCAAAATGTTTCAATTAAAACCCGAGGTAAAAACAACAGCTAGCTGCCGATAGTGGACACCTTGCTAGGGAGACGCTCGCTGTGATGGTGGTGATAGCGCTGTTACATTCAGGGTGCCTCGGAAAAAGGTGTTGTGCTCCAAATCCAGAGGGGAAAGTACAGTTAATAGCGCAGGTGTAATGCTTCTTCTGTTGTTTGTCAAAAACAAATGTTCTTTTATATAAATTTACAAGTTTTACAACATGCATATAATACATGTAAACATGTATAATAAGTAACATGTTATACACTTGTGTGATGTTATCATAGACATTTTGTAAAAACAGCTTTATGATATACTCTTAAAATGATAAACATGTTAATTAGATATATTTTTTAAAAATATACTAATTCCTAAAAGCAAATATGTGCATAAAGAAAAATAGTTATTCCTGGAGATATTATATTTCCTATATTTTTTAATGCAACAACTCTCTTCGCCTCAAAATGGGGTAGATTGAGATTAACTACAGTTTGCTGCTGCCCTCTGCTGATCAACGAGTGGTACTTCTAGTAGTGCTATTCAACGGTACATTTAGAAACTACAGACTGTTTATTGGTAGGTATGCAGCCATTTAGAATGTTTCTGCAGAAGCATTTTAAATGAGAGGTAAAATATTTACAAGATACAGGTGAATAAGTCCTTTTGCCATGCAAAAGTATTCCTATTGTTGAACTTCAGGATCAGTAGTTTTTCCCAACGTGTCACATTACAACAAATCTCGATGTATTTTTGTAAAATTTTATGTGACGCAATGGGGAATCTGCAAAATCTGACTCAAATGTTTCAGATGGCTCAAACTAAAAAGATAAAACAAGAGACAGACAAATGAAAAAAAACAACAACAAATAAACAAAATCAGTTGAGATTTTTAATTAAAATATAGTTTTAACAGCTTCTATCTTTTATTTCTGCATACTGTTTCCACAACAAAATAGCACATTGAGGTCATTCAGGTCTTACTCTTTTTTTCACCATTAGGTTGCAAATTATATGCTTTAGATATTTATTATAAGTATCACTTCTAAATTTTCCATAGATCTGAGAGGACTCAAAGGAAATAGACTTTTTCTTTTCAAGAAAGGGCTTTCTTTCAATCAATCCAAAATGTTTTGTTTGCACTGCAAATAGAGCTAACATTATTTACAATTCTATGGTTTTTGATCCTAGGGACAAATAGGTTTCACATCGACAAGCTTTATTTAGCAGCAGTAATAAATGCAATGGCTTCCTCACCCCGTATGGACCAACACAAAACAATCATAATTGTGAAGTGGAAGTACTTGATCAAATCTGAAAAGTTTAACATACAGTTGTTTCAGCCCCTGAGTCAATACTTTGTTCATCCACCTTGTGTTGCAATTATGGTCGCTTATCTTTGGAGGTATACTTGCGATTTAGGATCAGCTAAGACTAACTTCCCTCCTCCTTCTAAAAAGAAGCATCTGAGTAGCATGATGCTGCCACCATCTTATTTTACTTTGGGGACGCCGCATTCACGACGATGTGTTAGGTTTCCACCACTCATCAGTTATGTGCTCCTTTGTGTCGGTCTGTTTCAAAAAGGCTTGTAACATGACAAAATATTAAAAAGTTGAAGGAGTGTGCATACTTTTTTGCGAGGCAAAAGTGTGAACACATTTTGATTGCGTTTATTTGTGTTGAAACGCTGAAAGAGGGCAGATGAGTGACCTAGCAAATACAAACGATGCCAAAACCTTTTTAGGAACGTCCCCTAAATGTTAGACCTAGCAACATGGATATGAAGGTTACAGATTTTGCAACCTTGAGGGATACAGCACCATGAGGTAAGCAAATGATTGAGTGTGCAGCCTGCTGACCTGTATTCATTTGCACTTGCTTATCATAAAAAAATCAACAATTCTAAGTGCTTTCACATCATCACAGCTGTCAAGGAGCAAAGGACACAGGAACTGCTTTTTCATCAACTTTTGTCTCCTTGACTGCAAATCTGCTCCAGACACGCCCCAGTGCTTCTCAGTGGTATTGCATTTCAAGGTACTTCTGCAGTGAAGTTAGCTGGTGCCTTTGACCTTTGCTTTGTGACAAAAATGTAACTTTGTTTCTGGAACCTTGTTTCTATTGTTTCTATTGCAGTATCAATTTTGAAAGCACAGCTACTCCGAAACATTCTGGTGAGCTGCATAGAGTAAACTAGGGGAAATCTTTTTACTGAGATATTCCTTAAGTAGGTAATGACTATTTTTCTTCTGTTTCTACCTTTTGTGTCTATTTTCCCCGCATCTTCTGCTCTCCTGATTTCTTCTATGCCCATCTTTGTGCCTTCCTTTGTCTCCCACTATTCTGGCCCAAGGCATTGCATGCTCCTTTGTAAGCCATGGGACGTTTACCAATAGCAAACCTGACTTTTTAACTCGGTCTCTCTTGCCTTCTTCCTGTCTTTTTTTTTTTTCCTCTGGCTGCAGGCTAAAAATCTCCAGCTAGTTCATCAGTCGTGACCATCTATCCCATCCATTCCTTCCCCAGGCCAGGCCCGAGGCGATGAGAAGGCTGCCTTGGGTGTGCTCCACAAGTGACTGGCCTTCTCCCATAGACCGAATCCCAGGGCTGGACTAAAACAATCCGCCAGCGGTGAGAACAGACACACACGTCCTGCTGACTTCCGCGAAAGTGCGAAAAGCTTGTTTGTTCACTCGCGTGCTTTCATTAATCTGCATGAGTGTGTGTCCGCCATGAGGCGGGTCCATTAGTGTCCAGATCTAATGTACCACCCAACCTCCACCTCACCTCCTTCAGCTGGCCCAAAACCCATTTTCATAGTTAATGATTGCAGCTCCACTTAAAAAAACAAGCCACAGCTCACCCTCTGCTTATCTATTTTACATGCCAACAAAGAGAGCCATTAGTGGCTATTCTTCAAGCTATATTACAATTTTCACTTAAAATAATGCACATGCCTGCTTGTCTCGCTCTCAATTAAGTAATTTTTCATCTGTTAATGAGTTTGGGAAGTCAACAGCGTCCTTGAGCGTTGGCCGAGGCTGAATAAACACACCGGCGAGGGTGTAGAGGCGTGCTGTGATTTAGTGCTATCAACAGTGCATCCATCCATGGCCTTTTTTTTTTTTTACATCTTAACTTCTGTTGCTCTCCCTTTGAAAGCTCAACCTTTGTTTCCATCTGTCTCCTTCCCCATGATCGTGTGTCTGACGCTCTCTTTTCTTTAAACTCAAATGCTTTCCCCCATCCCATGCTCCTGGCTGAGTTCAAAAGTGTGGAGAGGCGGAATTAAGTGGCTGTCTGAGGATGCGTCTTCAAAGTAGCCGGGAACAAGCTTTGAATGATAAGAGCTAAGAAGGGAGTCAAAAGAACATAACTGCGATTTCAATCTGCCTGTTACCTGTGAATGCAAAAGCATCTCGATCTGTTTTATCCGCTGACCTTAAACTCGTGGCTTTCAGGGATCTTTATTGATAACAGAAACGATTTACAAAACTTACAGGAAGAATCGGAAATGGCAGACTCAGTTGGGGAATAGCAGTGGAGGAGTTTGACTATAAAAATATACATTTTGGGGTTGAAATATTGAGGATATAGATTTGATCTGTGCTAAAAAGCAAAGCTCTTGTTTACATATGTGGCTACATTTTGACCCTCAAGTGATATGGATCATGACAGAAATATCAATATTCTTAAGACACTGGAAATGGGCTTCCTTCGTAGGTGTGAAGGGTCAGATAGAGTCAAAAGCTCTGCCATCTTTTGGTTGATTGTGGCAGAGCTGCTGCTTCTCTTTTTTTTTTAACCAGAGACAATTGAGGTTGTTCAGGGACCTAACCCGGATGCCTTTTAGCACCTCGTTTAGTAGTTTTTCTGTCACATTCCACTGTGGGGAGACCTGAAGGCAGGCACAGTACTCCATAGAGGGACTACGTTTCCCTTCCTGCCTGGGAATGCCTCCGGGCCTCCCGGAAGTCCCCAGTCTCAGTGGAGATGGACATCTTGGTTTCTTGCCAGGATGTGTTGCTGAGGAGAGGATTAGCGGATGACAATAGATGGATGGATGTTACCTACATTGTTGAATTGTTTCATCAGGCATAACATACTTTCAGAAATGTGTATGTTGACTTCTGTTTAGATTTACAATTATTGCAGCACAAAAACACCAGTGAAAAAAATACCCAACAATGTTGCTTTTCAAGAAATGAAAGTAATATTTGACTTGTAATTGTAAATTCACCCAGCTTACCAGCTTTTTGATGCCTTTAAAAAAAAAAACAAAAAAAAAAAACATCAAACTAAAACCAGATACCAAAGAATTCATTGCCAAATGTGACTCTTGAAACAGATACTAATGTTACAGTTATTAGCCAGAATCATTGCATTTCATTTCATTACAATTCTCAATCCACATTAATTGGACTTCACACTAAGGAAAAACAGTTCAGGCATGATTGGTAGACCATTTTACTTCTTATATTGTCCCCAGAAGGAATGGCACCCAGGGAGGTGAGCCATACTGCTCACTGAGACTGACTCGAAACACCAAAACAAACAAACCAAAAAGGGAGACAAAGATTCACAAAGCAGACACCCCCTTTAAACAACTACACCTTAAGATCCTGTATCACTGCAAACAGGATCAGTGACAAAAGGAATCAATGGTGGTCACCCCACTGACACTGGGACCAAGACCAACCTTGTGCTGAGAATGCAGACACAAATAATATTGACTGAAAAGCCCCATCAATATTCCTCATACGCTCTCTTCCCAAAATATCTGAAGGGACAAACCTTCACAAAACACAAACCAACAAACACCACCAAACTCTGGTCTAAATATGAGGGTGACGACCTTTTCTTACTCGTCAGTTTGCAAATTAAAAAAGGTTAGATAATATCAAGTGAAACCAAGTGCACATTTAATTTTCTTTTGATTTTTTAAATGTTATTTTATTTAGAATAAATAAGTTAACACTCTCTAGTTGACTGGAAGATCTGATGGAATAAAACATTAACCTTGTCCTGCTGTTGTAGAAGAAATGGACGGTGTTTAAGCAAAACATTTTTCTCTTATTTTCTATTTCTTTACCTTT